TATCTTTCTTTTTTTTAAAGTAATCGAATGCTATTTATGTTTGTTCTTGTAGTTGTCCCCCATACCAAGTGACAGTAATTCCAATGGGAAATCGACTTCCACGCACCGCTACCATCTTTATCAAATTAGCTAGGAAACGCAGTTTGATCACGCGCAGTAGCTCTCTCCAGCCAATATTCCAATGTCAATCGTTTTTAATCAGACTACATAAAAAAAAAAACAAAAAAAAAACAGAACAGTTGTTTGGGGGATTAAATATGCACCCGTCCACAGGCCAATGACTGCTTTCGCGAGGCTGAAAAGCTCTAGAATGTTGTGTATAGCTATAAAAATGAAAATAAAGACATCGCAAATATCTAGTTACCACTTACTTTTTTCCTTTTTGCCGTAGTAGCCAAATTCATCTTTGTCTACCAGTTTAAGAACCATACTCAATGTTTTTTTTTAGTAATTTCTTGTTTTTGGGCATTTAATATCGTCCAACCTCTACAGCCTAACCTTTGCATACTGCGATTCAACGAAGCGAAATTGCGTCAACAGAGTTTGCCCCAAGGAATTCTCCAGGGAAATGTTCGCAGTAGCCAACGTGCCCTCGCACTGCCTTTTTCGACTCCCCTTTCCTATTGCGTTCGTAGGTACAACGAGTCGTGTACTGAACAAAGTTGGGCCTTATTAAATCCCTTCTCGAAAGTTAATTAGTACAACCTCTCCCATTTATTTTTTGTTGTCTCGCAATTTCTCTGGGCTTTATTAAATTCGGTGGTAGTAGACCCGGGCTCGTTTTTGCTGAGCTTTCATTTTTTTCAAGGTTGCGGCCGTCAACAGTCCTCATACGATGATGCAAAAAAAGTGTGATAAACTGCGCAGCATATTTGACCCTTTAGGAGAATATATCATCAGGAATAGCGAATTGCGAACACGTACAGTAAATTAACCTTTGATTAGAAGGTCGGCAACAAAGAACAAAAATGTACTAATCACGCGGTCATTCGAAAGATTTTAGTTTAGATATATTTTTTTTTATGAGAAGTATAAATTATTAGGTATATATTCCTGCGTCGCTATTATAATTCGGAAAAAGACGACGAAGTGTTTCGACGTTGAAGCGGCCTTTCAGCGTTCTCTGGTATTTTTTGTCTAAATAATTGTTCAAAAGCCATAACTGCGGGCTCCGAGGTCACTATCCACCGATCTTGGACCCGGCATGCCCTCCGGAATTGGAGACCACCCGCCCCCGGCCCCTATGAACAGTACGACCGAACCAGTTGCAATGTTCCAGGCAGAAGCAACCAACCCGCCATCCACATCGATGGAAGGCGAGTTCACGAACGAGGACGGATCGTTAACACCTGCCGCTAAAATGACCCTCGACTCCTTAACCCCTGGGCAGCACGCACCGGACTTCTCAGATGCCGATAGTATGACAACTGACGATGAGGGCTTCAGCACCGTGATTTCCAGGAAAGCAAAGAAGCGATTTCGAAAAGCCAAATCCGAATCCTCGACCAGTAGCACAATCGTGTCCATCGACGCTCCACCATCGACTCTTACGGTCATCTTCACACCTGTGGACCAGACAAAAGTCATCACGAACCTCAATGAGATAAAGCTAACAGAGCTACTTGAGTCAAAAGCACCAGCCGGCATCATTCGTATTCGCCCAAATCACCGACTTAACCTGATGTCCGTTGACACTCGCAACTCTGAAAGCTGCGCATCTCTGCTGAAAATGAGATTCCTGCTGGGAACTGCAGTCAGGGCTTTTGAACCTCGCTCACAGACTCAGGCAACTGGAGTCATTAAGGGGGTCGATACCGGAATCGATATCGCCGAAATACGAGAACACCTGAAGACAGACAATGACACACCCATTGCCTCTGCTCACCGGCTTGGAACATCAACCACAGTTGTGATAACCTTCACATGTGCAAGCCTTCCTGAACATGTTCTACTGGGTCTGGTACGACACAGAGTGGAACCATTTGTGGAAAAGCCTATTCAATGTCATCTTTGTTTGCGTTTCGGACATATCCAGGCTATGTGCAGGAACTCACCGACATGCTCGCGCTGCTCTGGACCACACCAGCGAACTGACTGCAACGATGGAACAACTGTCCGATGCTGTAACTGTGGTAAGCAACATGAGGCAACTTCACATCAATGTGCAAAGTGGAAAAAAGAACTGGAAGTACGTCGCCTTCGCCAAGTCACGAAAATGGACTATAAGACTGCTCGAAGCACTGTCTCGGACACCTTTAAGTCACAAACGGCGGCCGAAACTATGCATCAACAGAACAAGAGAACCCAACAGTCTTTGCATAATCGACGTGTAAACACGGACAACGCCAATACCAATCAGGAAAATGGTGCAATTTTATCTGCGGTGGGCAAGATGCCAGCGCAACATGAAAGCTTGACCCAAGTACGGGCTTTTCGAGATGCAGCCCACAACGTGACGGAGGTCCCTCAGGGTAGCAACGAGCACCCTAACACAAATGAAAGAGGCAAACAAGGAACGTCCTACAGAAAAGCATTAACTGGAGAATTCTCGAGCAAACAAACAACACCAACGAAGGAGCCAGCTCGGTCATCACCGACATCCTTTGGTATCTGGTCCGCCATCATCCTGACTGCGGAGAAATACATACGAGAATTCCTCGCGCAATGTACGTCTCCAGTGGCAGGCTTTGCTCTGCAAGTATTGGACTATATTATGCCTCTCTTAACTAACCTATCCAGATAAACAACAACCTCAATGCGCGAAAATGGGCAGCACATCAATAGAAAATCTTATTAAGGACTCAACGGTCTTCCAATGGAATGCCAGAGGACTTCAAACACATATGTCAGATTTTCGACAATTTACGTACTAACATAATTTCCCCATCATTGTGATATGTGAACCAGGACTTCCGAAAAATTTCAGGCTATCAGGATACGACACATTTAAATCCCTCCGATCCAATGGGCCCAGCCGCGTCATGCTTGCTATTCGGAAGGACCTTACTTACATCAATCATTACGTCCCAGAACATGCAAGCAATGAATATGCGTGTGCAACAGTAAAAAATGGTCCGCACATCATTTCTGTGATAGCGGCATACATATCGCCCCGTGCAAAATTCGACGAAGTCCAGTTTGAGGGTGTACTAAAGACGTGTACTTCACCTTACGTCATATCAGGAGATTTTAACGCTCACCACCCACTCTGGGGCGGCAGCCATATTAATCGTCGAGGTGAAAAACTTGCCGATTGCCTGAACCTACACCATCTAAATATTCTTAATGACGGCTGCCCAACGTACCTACGTGGCACTACGTATAGCAGTTGCCTCGACCTTACTTTCGTTTCTCGTGAACTGCTTCCTTACACTACCTGGTTCTCAGATATTGAAACCCGCGGAAGTGATCATATTCCAACCTACACCATCATAAAAGAATTTTCAAGACAAAATGTTCGCCACGTTATTCATCGCACAAACTGGCAGAACTATCAAGCGTCGATGGAGGACTTCTGCACGTCTTCTACCAGTTTGCATGAATTCAGCACTGCAATTGTCGCTGCAACAAAAGCTGCGACAAGAAGCTACAGCGTTCCCACAACCCGAACTGCAATCGACGGGGAATATGAGCATCTGCGAGCTGTCCGTCGCCGTGCGGAAAGGCGATACAGGAGGACCAAAGACAGGAAGGATCTCCGTGAATCTCGCAGAACACAGAAAAAGATAAGTCGACGCTTCCAAAAACTTGGAACTGCCAAATGGAGAACGAAGTGTTCAAAATTTGATCCCAGAAAACCACTTACGGGGATTTGGCGAATTGCACGAGGTCAACGAGCAGTCCAACAACGATATCCTTTCCGCGCCTTATCTCTGCACCTGAATGTATCTGAAATCGATGCTGCCGAAACTTTCTGCCGCTACCTAACCCAAAATCAAGCGGCCTCTAACATAACTAATGCTTCTCTACAAGGGCGTGTACCATCATCATCCGACGAGAGAATGAACCTGCCCTTTACGCAGGAAGAGCTCCGGGCAGCCCTGGCAACGGCAAAGCGGGCTTCGACCCCAGGACCTGATGAAATCACGTACAGTGCACTTGGAAATCTTGGCTCTCGAAGCCGAAAGCAACTCCTTGATTTTTTCAATCTTTCGTGGGAGACGGGTCAGATACCCTCAACATGGAAGACAACACGTATCGTACCCATTCTCAAGCCTGGAAAGTCACCATACGATATTGCGTCTTACAGGCCAATAGCACTATCTAGTTGCATGGGGAAAATAATGGAAAGAATGATGAATTCTCGCCTAGAATGGTACCTAGAGAATAACAATTATTATCCAGAAATAATGTCTGGTTTCCGACGCGGCCGAAGTTCTATAGATGGTGTTATCGATCTGGTATCATTTGTAGAACAACAGAGGACACGGAGACGTCTCACCACAGCTGTATTTCTTGACATCAAAGGCGCATATGACAACGTGACTCATGAGGCCGTCCTACACGCCTTAGAAGATCTTGGTATTGGGGGGAGCATGTACTCCTGGTTGAAGAGTTACTTGACGAGGAGAAATATTTACATATCTACCTGCAATGGAAACACTACATCACATGTCATAACAAGAGGGGTACCACAGGGCGGTGTACTAAGCCCAATTTTATTCAATACAGTCGTGATTAATCTTGCTGAAGAACTGCCATCGACAGTACACGTATCACTTTATGCTGACGATATCTGTATCTGGGCGTCTGGTGTAACACGACCCCAGATACGGGCAAGACTCCAATGTGCTCTGAAGACAATACATCAATATCTAAGAAAGCGAGGAATCGAGATCTCCGTCTCAAAGTCCGCTGCTATGACATTCTCTCGCAAGCATATGGAGAAATATCCCGTTATCATCGGTGGAGAAACAGTCCCCAGCGTTCGGCAGCATAATTATCTCGGATTCACTCTGTACAGAGGTCTTACGTGGACGCCTCATGTTTCACGACTCAAGATGAAATTGACGTTCATAATACATCTTATGCGATTTATCAGTGGTACAACATGGGGCGCCACTGTAGGCTGCCTACAGAGACTGTTTGAGGCCTTCTTTCTTGGACTTCTGAGATACCACTTGCCTATTCTGAACAACACCTGTGCGAGCAATATACGAGCTATCCAGTGCATTGAAGCCCAAGCTCTACGCGCCTGCTTAGGGCTGCCACGGTGTGCTTCAACGTCCGGGACAATTGCGGAGGCTCGAAGGTATCCCATTGAAGCATATATGATACAAGAAACTATACGATTACATTTAAGACACCTTACAAGACATCCGAACCACCATCTGGCCACGTTACCTTCAGAGAGACCTGAGTCTGCCTTCTCCAAAACGATAACGAAACACAATATTGTTCCAAGTGACCTATTTCCTGTACAGAAAGACGAAATACCACCATGGACCTTTCTGAAGCCGAGAATAACGTTATACGTAAAAGGTATACATAAGAAGACGTCCATTCCATCTCCAGTTCTCAAACAACTGACATTAGGAGTCATCAATGAAGCATACGGCTTGTCCACACATATATACACCGATGAGTCGTCCTCTGAAACACTGTCTGGAATTGGAGTTGTCATACCTGCCCACAACCATACCGTCAAGATGAAGATAAGGCATCGAACGACATCAACGGCTTCCGAATTAGCTGCCATACGAGAAGCAATACGGTACATTATGTCTCGATCACCGCAACCATGGACAATCTTCAGTGACTCAAAGTCAGCATTACAAATAATACAGACTTTCATGAAGCGCAATGCGTACGACCAACTGGCATATCAGGTATCCGCTCTCTGCCATCAAGCCCTCGTAAAGGGCCACCAGATTTCTACTCAGTGGATACCAGGTCACTGTGGCATCCCCGGAAATAATGCAGCAGACAGAGCCGCCAAGTCAACGATTAGTGCCGATTCAATTCTGATACCTTACTCCAAAAGTGACAGCAACGCTAAAGTTCAAGCCTTGGCCAAGACAATTTCATTAGGACACTGGATGAACGTAATAACACACGACCGGAGATTATACTTTCTAGACCCCCAACGAACCTTTCGCGTTCCATCCGGAATTTCAAGACGACTGGAGACAACTCTGCACCGACTGCGACTAGGTGTAGCATATACACCGCAGTTCCTTTGTCGAATAGGACAGCGCATCTGCGGGGATTGCACCAGCTGTGAGGTGGAGGGGTCAATTGAGCATATATTATGCCAATGTGTTGAGTTCGAGGAAGAACGCCAAACGCTTCAAGAAACATTACAAAAAATAGATTCGCGTCCGTTTAGCGCTTTCAAAGTGCTTGGCAGCTGGGACACAACCGAACAGTTTATGAAGGCCACCGAGGCTCTAATACGATTTCTGAGAGACACAGGACTTTCGGACAAACTCTAAATGACTGAGAACTTTATATGAGACTGCTTACATAATTCACTAGATCATAATCATCTTCATTGACAATTTTCACCTCATATTCCTACCCCACTGCTATGTCTTTCCTTCCCCCTCTCCCTATCCCCGGGGCAGAGTAGCAAACTAGAACTGACGTTCGGGTTAAAATCTCTGCCTTTCGTTCATAAAGCACTACTACTATTATAATTCGGGCACGTGGGAAGAAACTCTCGCTGTCACTGAGATTGTTAAAATAACCATTAAAAAACGTTTGCCTCCAATTCTTGTATTTTACAATATACACTTGCCATTCATAGAAGGGGGGGGGGGATCAAATTTTGTTCGCCACCTTTTTTTTAAGATTAGTTTTGTTTGATTTATCTTCACCTCCTGCACCGGTGCAGAAAAGTATAGGGCGCTGCACTCGTATCTCAACTCGCCCTTTTTTTTTTTTTGTTTGGCAAGAAACTCAGCCGGCACATTTCCGGTTCGCGCATATTTTCTAATTTCTTACTCCTCATTTTTTCATCACAAGAGTGAACTAAATCTGACAGTGCTATAAGCTCCGAGTAGGGAGGCTCAAGTGAGGGTGGGTGCAACTGCTAGATCGGCGATCACGGGACATGGACGCCATTTAATTGCTAAAGTTTGCTGGGAGTCTATGGGGCAAAGGGTCGTTTTCTTTCCTAACTCGGGTCATAAAAGCCCATTAAGGTGCTTGAATAATTTACAAGAGGTATAAATGATTACTTTTCCATAGCCACCAGTTTTGTTGCGATAGGTTAAGTATTTTTTAACGCGAAAAATGGTAAATTCCGCCATCTTAGACGTTGCTGCTTGTCTGGCAACTTTGCTTTCTCCGCTCGACGTTTGCAATTCTCGGAGCGAGAAGGAAGCGAGAGAGGCTGCGCCAAGGCGCTCGTTGCTTGCAATGGGAGGCGAGAGGAGGAAAGGCGCATGGAGCAACAGAGTTGCAACAGAGCGGGCGCCTGCTCTCTTGCAGGCAACACTGGCGCATATCCTTTCTCGAATCCTCTCCCTCAGGCGCTGCCATTAAATTGCAAACGCTCTCCAGGTTTTGAGTTGCGCCCACCCTCACTACAGCCTCCCTAGCTCCGAGAGTATGAAGTAGCGCCACCTAGCGGCTTACTTTCGTGGCATAGTAGCAAGGACCACGTGATCGCTTCTGTGCTTCCTTGGTAGCATGAAGTTGAGGCGTTTCGTTCCCAGTTTATGTTTATTCGTTAATTTCAACGAGAGTTTAGGGTTGCTTTTGACCTAATTCTTTTCGTTGTACTTCCCGTCAAAATGAGACTCGAGCAGCGCGACAACAGTGGAGTCGCGGCGTACGCAACAGGACCCAACTGACCCAATTTCGTGTTATCGTACTGACCACGACCAAATCGGTTGTCTTCGTGGCTTCGGAGAGTTGTGAAGTTACCAGACAGGTAGATTATGGACGGCGTGGCTCCCGGCGCGAGTTTTCCTTCTTTTTTCCAGCATGTTGGAAACGGACAGAGCAGATAGAAACCAATTACGAGGATGGCCGAGCTAGGGTGCCTTCATGTGCGCTTCGCATAGAGTGATGCCTACTACCTGTTTCCCCTTCCCACACCCTCTTCCACCGCCATTTTGTTCCTCTCATTGTTTCCCAGTGCGCCGGAAAGTGGCCTTTCTGTCCGGGATCCGGACATTTCGGTGTAGGACGTTTCGGTGTAGGGCGTTTCGGTGCGGTCTTTTCGGTGCACGGACATTTCGGTGCACGGACATTTCGGTGCACGGACATTTCGGTGCACGGACATTTCGGTGCACGGACATTTCGGTGTACGGACTTTTCGGTGCGCGGACATTTCGGTGCCCTTTTTTAGTTTTCTTTAAACGTAATAAGCAATATTTTAGCTAGAGATTAATTTTTTCGCACTTTATACATTTTTAGACTTGGTCATGCCTTTACGGTCACTCACTGATATACCACCTAAGCGACTTTGTTAGGCGCAGTAGCATCCTGCGTGTGGATTGGAGACGTTGAACATTAGTGTTCGTTTGTCGGTGTTTCTTTTCCAACGTACGCACTAATCGCATCACTTCGCGTTTACACGTTGGGTCGATGCAGACGTTCTCGGCGCCTTCTGTAGAGGTGTGGACTATATTATTGAGAATCTGTGTAGGAAAGGCCCCAACAGCAAGCTTGAGATTGTTGAAAATTACCCGAGACATGTCATGCGACTAGTGCGTACTGTACGTTGGAAAAGAGACACCGACAAACGAACCATAACGTCCAACGTCTCCAATCCTCACGCAGGATGATACTGCGCCTAACGAAGTCACTTAGGTCGTATATCAGTAAGTGGCCGGAAATGGATGACCAAGTCTAAACCATTATAAAGTGCAAAGAAATCGATTTTAGATAAAATAGTGCTTATTACGTTAAAAAAAAAAATTCGTGATTTTGATGTTTTGTGCACCGAAATGTCCGTGCACCGAAATGTCTGTGCACCGAAAAGTTCGTGCACCAAAATGGCCGCGCATCGAAAAGTCCCACACCGAAAAGTCTATGCAACAAAAAGTCCGTACACCGAAAAGTCCGTACACCGAAAAGTCCGTGCACCGAAAAGTCCGTGCACCGAAACGTCCGTGCACCAAAAAGTCCGCACCGAAACGTCCTACACCGAAACGCCCTACATCGAAAAGTCCTAGACACTTTCTGTTCATCGGTCCTCCCATCCGAGGGGGAAAATGCTAATCCTCCCTCCGTGGGTTCCACAACGCTGCTCCGAACTTGTGAGATAAGGTTCTTGTTTCCGGGAGGGTTATAAGCCCCACGGATTATCGCCGAGAACCAAAATGGCTGCTGGTTTGTCGGCGAGCGGTATTACAAAGGGTGGCATCACCCTAGCGCACATGAAGGCCCCTAGGCCGAGCAAGCGTTAAACTTGGCATTCCGATCGCCGTTTTTTTGCCCTCGCATTTTGCTTGCGCGGTTATTAGCGGCGAGATGTTTTAGTGGCGCCCTCCTACGGTTCCCCCTTGTGACGTCATTACCTTGCAAACAACAAGTTCGATGGTGTGTGCAAATAGCATGGTGGAAGCTTGAAATCCTTGCGCTCTCAAAAGAACACTGCCAACACCGTCAAAATTAAAGTTCTTTCATTCCTCTTATTTCGTCAATGATAAATCCCCTTTCCGACGTCATAGTCAGCGTTCGGCCAATCGCGGAAGGCCGACCACAGCGACGCTTTCGGTCGCGCACGAGGCTAATAGACACACACTAAAAATAAAGTGTACGTACCACATGATGCGAGAGTAATCCATAGCGTGTTTATTAGGGCTTTGCGTCAAAGAAAGCAGCAAGTAGGATTGACGAGTGTGTCACTGCTACGATAGCATCCGTCACCACGGCGCAACACTTGGAAAATGACAAGAGGACGACGAAGAGATAAGACTCACCTTATAACCGGAAGATCTAGGGCAAGGTTCAAATTATTCACGCAAAATGGCTCCACTTAAATAAGAAAAAAATAGGGTCACGCGAACATATCCGTTTAACGAGGCCGTTGGTCGCAGGAAGTGAGTGACGAGAGGCTTGCTAGGCCTGCCGACCCACCTTGCAAGGCAGTGGCCGCTGAAGTCGTTGGTATTGTCGTTGGTATTGTCGTTGCTTTCTGAGTACGTGAATCGAGCGGCGTTCACCGATAATTGTGGTTTTGGGTACGTACTTCCTTTCGTTTGCTGCTTGCAGTCGGGAAGCGCGCAAGGAGCACGTAGAAGTATGCTCGTTGGTCACCACAGAGAAGTATTCGAGAGGTGTTGGCGGCCATGAAGCCATCATAATTTACACACAACTTCCAATCGTTTCGCTTGGCACGTTCGGATTTGTTTTTAGGTTTCGTCCTACGGATGTTTTGCGTCATTGCAAAAACAAAACACGCTTGGCAAACAGTTTCTGCTGCTACGCGCTAAAGCGCACAATCAAAGCAAAGAAAAGCGGAGGAAACACCCGGGCTCGTCACGTGATACTCGTCACTACGTCACCATCGAGCGATCGCAGCGCTCCAATCGGTCCCGCTCGGGACTAAGAAGTGGACGTCGCCAGAAGGCAGCGTGTACATTTGATTTCGCGAATACTGCGAAACCCGCCGTCTAGTCCAGAACCGGAAGGGGTTGGGGGCAATTTTCGCACGCTAGCGCCAACACGTTTCAACTCACGCGAGAAAGAGCGAATGCACATACCCCAAGTACGCTGCCCTACAATTTTCTGTACCGGTGCAAGTGGCGCAGGTGAATTGAAAGAGCATAGTAAATTTATGAGGTTTAAATTTTTTTCCTCTTCAACTGCAAGGTCTTTTTCTTTCTCCATTGACAACTGATTTTTTTTTTAAATTTTTTATAGACATTTTGCGGCAGCTATGCATGGGCGCCGCCGTAACCGAACTTCAATTTTTGTTTCCTCTTATTACGTTCACTTCATCAGGACCAGACAAGTACACGTCTACCCAAGAACGTAACTCGTTACCGATTCTATCAAGGAACGCGTTACTAGGGATGGGCAAAATACATGCAAATATGTATCGAAATACAAATACAAAATACTTCGTCAAAAATGTATTTAATTACGAATTTGATTACATTTCCAAAAAACCCATTTAAGTACAAGATACAAATACAACCAAATGTATTTGGTCTCCTCCAGAATACTTTTTCCAAATACATTCCTCAAAATTTGCCTCAGC